ATGAGGTCGAATAAACTTGTCTAGATTTTCATATGAACTTTAATTCAAACTTGTACGCGACATCCACATAACCAAGAAGTCACCAGTAAGTCACGCAATTATTCTAAATTTAAAATTAGATCTCGCTAATTTTGATTATACACACACAATTCTTTTTGTTTTCTACTTCTAGAAGAAATCTTACTTGTTTCTATGTATTGAAGAAAATTAAGATAAATAACGAGTTGTGCCGAAAAAGGATGATTGTCGAATTAATTCTAAACTTATTTTAGATTAGTCAATTTAGTCATAAAATTTACAATTTTGCCAATATACTCTTAAGCCTCTGCGAGAAATTTTAATCTATCTTTTTCAGCCAATGTTATTGGAAATTGCTAGCTTGGCGTCCATCCATTACCGATCGTCCTATGCGACATACCGACGTAGATAGTTTTACGCGAAAAGACGTCCTACATGGACCATCATGTGAGTGATTTACAGCGGCTATTGGCCGAGATGATTATATTGGAATGTCTCGTGCAAAAAATATTCGTTACTATATTGAAACATTTATAACTAAACTGGCATTGGAGCGTTATGTCATGCTTGTCGGGGTTGAATTTCTGAATTGTGGTTGTTATTTATCCATTTTTGAGAGATTACTGTCTTAATAGGTCAAAGTTACCGATGATTATTTTACTATCATATCAAGACATTTCTTGCCATTAAAAATATTTTTTTCTTAAAAAGAATTGGATTTGGTGAATTACTTTCGATCTCCTTTTTTATTGCATTCTTTTTCTTGAGTGTCACATCCTCAATTTCAGTTCCTGAGAAAATGGCTATGGTTAAAGTTTGGTGGTTTTCCAATCGGAACTAAATTGTTTTATCTTGTTTTGGAAAACCCAGTTTTGGATCCTTTGTACCCCTTCATTTTGTTATTTTTGGGGAGACTTTTGTGATCCGAATTTCCGAATACTTCCTTCTTGAAAGTTGTTCCAAACATCTTGACGTTTTACATACTTTAATTTCAGAATTTTTGGAGTTGATATGAGTAGTACAATGGCCTGATTTTCGGACCGTGTAAAACTGCCCAGAATGGGTATTTCGGTGATATTCACACCATCTTTATTTTCTACAAGCTTTTCTGGGACGATTTTGGAAAAGTTTCCTTCATGAAAGTTGTTGAGAACGTCCTTTCTTATAACGTGTATAAATTTGGGAATTTTCCGAGATGATTTGGATTCTGGACAAAGCTTAATTTGAGAAACCAGAGTCCCGTTTCAGCGAACTGTTTTTAGTCTGTCTTTGAGCTACTAAAAATGGTGTTTACAGAAAGATTCCGAATTTGTGTTCTTCACGAGAAATGTTTGGTAAAGTCTTGTTTATGACATATTCAAATTTAAGAATTTTTGGAGTCCATTTACTATATTTTCAAGCTCGATTTCGTGAACAGTGCAAAGCTGTTCGGTTTTATAAGATTTCAAAGATTTATCAATTTCTATTTGAGAACGTTGGAATCTCAACTTGATGTCTTTTGGTGATATTTAAGGACATTTCCGCGCCGAACCTCGGGTTGAATGAGATTATTATACGAGTTTTGTCGTAGAAAACCCTCGGAAATCAAGGAATTGATTATGATGCGGGTTTACGACTTGAGTGTCGATTAGTTGTTATTGTACAAACTGATGGTGCTAAGTCATTGTGAGCCGAACCGACATTTCTAGAAGACCGAAATAGGCTCCGTGTTTGTTTTGTTGGGAAGAAACTAGAAGATAAGGCTTTGTCATGGTCAAAGCTTTTCCTTCAAGCTTCCATCATTAAGTTTCATTAATGCCATTAAATGGCCCTTGACTTAGAAGCCCTATTTCATGATGACAAGCATTAATAACATTAGACTTTGGAGGTCCTATCATTATGGGACACAAGGCAAGGCCAAATGGCCTTGCCAAGGGAACCATCGTGAAGGCCATTCGGCCGTGAGGAAGGAAAAGAGAGAGAGAGAGAGAGAACCAATAGGGAAAGGATGAGTCTTAGCCTTCATCATTTAACCCATAAATGCTCATAAATGGTCTTATCTTTTGTGACATATGCCATGACTCAAGCAAGGCCATCATGACTATTGTGCACATTAATACTTGGCTTCTTCTCCAAGCCTATTTGTCTATAAGGAAGCAAGAAGCCTCACGTGAAGCGCCCCCCCCCCCCCCCCCTTTCTCATGATCATATTCTTCTTCCTTTGTATCTTGTTTTTCTCACTTTGGCCGAGAAGCTCACACCCAAATCAACCCCGAACCGGCCCGTGTTCCTACTCGTTCCCATCCAAGAGCCACGGTTTGCCCTTGGTAGGCCTCGTCTTGGTCGGCCAAACAAGGAGGAAGTAAGGAAAAAGCCCGAAATTTCCCGAGCTCACCCGTCTCGATCCCCGTTCCCTAGTTTTATTTGTCGTTGAGTAAGTGAATTCCCTAATACCGGGAAAGGAAGTTGCGATACGTTGTAACATGGGTTGGTTGACCCGTTTCTTGGTTTCATGGTTGTTCGTTGTTTCTCATCTAATGATGTTCGCGTGTGATACTCACGTTTGATGTTTGTTTTGTTGGTTTCGTAGCATGACTTTGCTATTTGAAATGCCATTGATGCCAGTACGGTAAGAATCGACTTGTGTGAATGACGATTGTCTCGTCCTCGCTTGATATTAGTGTTTTCACTTGCTGAGTCTCCCCGACTCATCCCCCGTTGTTTCCCTTTTTTTCAGGTTCGTCGGATGGCATCTCCCCCAGCCCGCGTTGGCAATCCCGTGGAGTAGCAAGCCGAAGTGCTCACCGTGATAGATGTCAGAGAAGACCGTGCCTATCGCCGAATCACGATGCTTGTGACGATTCGATGAGGGCCTAACGGACTTGGTGCCTCATCCGTGCGTAGGTTCAACGGTGCTTTGGCGGTGCGGGCGGGCCGGCTCCGGGATAAAGCCACGGGTGGGATGTGAGATGGCCAGGCAGACAGGACCGGGGTGGAGGTGAAGAAGCGAGGAGCGAGAAGCCGTAGTGGGTATAGGATAACCCAAGCCGAGTTTTGTTACTCAGTCGGCTATGAAAATATGTGTTGTTTGCCATGGCCCGAAGGGCCTGTATTTAATATGTTTTCATGCACTGTAAATATAAGCTTTGTTTATGATGCTGCTTGTCTAAATTTTTGCTGTTGTTTTGAATGTGATTGTCCCGATATTATGCTTCCGCTCGTGTGTAAAGAAAGATAATAATGAACGGGACGTCACGATTATGACCCCGAGGTAGGGGCGTTACAGTTTAATTTGGTATCAGAGCAGGTTCCCCTCTAGTAAGTACAAGTTCGGTGTTGAGCCAAGAAGAGGCTGTGGAATCCTGAAAGGACCCAATCCGATGAGGGCGGGGAGTGGTCGCCGAGGTAGAACCTGATCAAAGAGCGGCTCTTGGCTATGAAGTGGACGCCGGGGCATGAGGCCTGACCAAGGTGCGGCTTCTAGCAAGAGTGGTCGTCGGGGTTGAAGACCTGAACAAAGTGCGGCTCCTGGCAGGCTTCTAAGATGATGGGTAAGAGAGGAAGAAACCGAATTATGCACTGAATGGGGGAGAACGATTCTGATATCCAAGCGGAAATAAAGACCTGGAGTGATAAGGTGCGCTGAAGTTGGGGTAGTTAGCTAGGAAACACCCATGCGCATGTGAATGATTGATTGTGGTTGAATAGGTTGTGTGCAAATATTTATTTATGACCATTGACATATTCTTGTGTTGTAGAAAGACCCCTTAGAATACCAAGATGAGTGCTCGGAACCCGACTGCGACCTCGACCTCGAAGGGGAAGTCAAATCAAGACCCCTGAATAGACGGAATTCTGCAGGTTCTGGCGACCGTAGGAGAACTGTTTGGACAGCAGGCCCAACAACGAATGCCTAATGCTGAGAATGTGGCAGCAAATGGAAATGGAAATCGAAATGGTGGCCGTACGATGCACGGTTTGGTCGAGCAATTCCTGAAGCTCCAACCCCCGAAGTTTATCGGAACTGGAGACCCCGAAGAAGCGGAATCCTGGATCGATGAACTCCAGAAAGCATTTGAGCTTCTGCGATGTTCTGAGGAAGATAAAGTCACTTTAGCAGCCTATCAACTGCAAGGTAATGCCAGCTATTGGTGGAAAGCGACCAAGGAAAGCGTGTTCCCAGAAAATGCTGCTGTCAACTGGAATGCTTTTGTTGAAGCATTAGTGGGTATAGGATAACCCAAGCCGAGTTTTGTTACTCAGTCGGCTATGAAAATATGTGTTGTTTGCCATGGCCCGAAGGGCCTGTATTTAATATGTTTTCATGCACTGTAAATATAAGCTTTGTTTATGATGGTGCTTGTCTAAATTTCCGCTGTTGTTTTGAATGTGACTGTCCCGATATTATGCTTCTGCTCGTGTGTAAAGAAAGATAATAATGAACGGGACGTCACGTTTATGACCCCGAGGTAGGGGCGTTACATTGAGAGTGTTTAAAGATCCCGGAATATCAGGAAAGAGTTGTACATTTTGTCTTCAAATTAATCTGCACTACCTTCCAATGTCGGTTTCCAAATTTCTGTTCTATGCAACCAAGCTCTCGAACTTGTACAATTTTTCAATTGCAACTTATCTGAATCGGACTAAGAGATTGGTATAATAAATCGGTCCGTCTTCTCTTTTGTTAAATCGAAGCCGAAGTGTCGACAAATGCAAGTAAAAAAGCATGACATTTGAAAATAAAAAATTGATACCCCCACGCAAAATCAATTTGCGTTAACCAAAATTGCAGGATCAAACATTAAGTACATTCTCCACAGCTTTTCCCTCTCCACCTTCGTCTAGGCTCGACCCATTCGAATCCCGGTTCGGAGCCCTCTCCAGCGCGTACACCCCAGCGAGATGTTGGTTCGGAGAGCCGTTGGTATCCGAACCTTCGGTTGCGCATTTTGGTTTTCGCCTCTTCTTCTTCTTCTTCCTTCCTCCTTTCGTCGTCCATTTTCGCACTTCCTCTCTCTGCAACTTGCATCGCCTTTGGCTCTCGCTCTCGTCTCTCTCGTTCTCTTTCCCTTGGGCCGAAGACTCTTCTCTCTCTTTCCGCCTCAAAAATTGCCGTGCTTCAAGGGAAACCTACCATGGTATTGCTCTCTAACCCTACTTCATCCGCAATAAAGTAGAAACCACTTGTGGAAACTACTTGACCCTTGTCCTAAATTCCGCTTCTTTATTCGGTTAGATCTGAGCTTCTGCCTTTTCTTTTTCCTCGGTGATCGTTTTGGCGTCTATAGCACCAGATAATGTAGTCAGCTGATCGCTGTTCATTTCTCTGTCTGTTCAAATTTTTGTCGTTGAACGGCCAGTGGCCGTTTGTTTTGGGGAGTTCATTGTTTTTTTGAAAGATTTAGCTTTGTTTTGATTGTGCTATGGCCAGCACTGAACTGATCTGCTCTGTTTCCTTAGCTTATGAACTCAGAGGGAAAAAGGGTGTGTTCGTCTTCCGTTGGATCTGTTTATGTTGGCCTTTTCAATGACTTTCCAGCTGCTTGCTTATCTGTTGTTCAAGTTCCGAGATCGACTTGGATGAACTGTTGCCAAATCTTATTAAGCAGGTGTTAGATTTGTTCTATTCTCTACTTTATATTTAAGCAAAGGAATATGCGGCTATTTTATTCTGCTCGGCTAATTTGATGACTGAAACCGATACCGTTTCTTGGTTATTTTTACTCTCTCGTTAAACAAGTTGGATCGTAGTGACGGTCGTTTCGTTGTACTGGAAGCTGTTAATCAGATGTGAGTTGCACATCGATCGTGTCTCGGAGATTGAACTGCATCCTTCTCAGACTACTGACTGATTTACTACTTTGAATTGATTGGTTTTGAAAGAGAAAATCAAATGATATAGGTGAGATTTTGTCCACTTGGCTTCCATTAGTAGCTTTTAAAGATTAATTTTCTTGTCGAGGTTTTAGCATATTCTCAGCTTTTGTTATTCCATATAGCTGCCAGAAGCATAGAATTGGATTCTTGTGTTTAATCTAGTTTGGAATGATGAGTGAGCTATGCATTGACATATCTGTACGCTTCTCTGCTGCTCTGGTGCTATGTGATGTTGCAATAGTAATGTTGTGATTAGAGACAATTGCTTTATTAGCTTCAGTATTATAAAATTATCTTGAGTGGAGCATGTGACGATGAAGCTTGCAAAATTGCAGATGATCTCGTTGCTAATGCTGTTTACATTTCATGAGTTCTTGGGAATTTGATCGAATATGTTTGAAAAAATCATCCGGCGATAATTGCGTCCCTCGTAGAACATGTATAGTATATTGTTCCATTGATTTCCTTGCCTAGTTTGTCTATTGGGTACATATCATACATATTGCTAAATTTTGCCTGCAAACATAATTCAGTCGTCGCAGTTATCAGTAAAAATTGGAAGCAGCATTAATCAATGGTTTTATACATGTTAATTATTGTCAAAGTCTTTTATTTGTCTGAAATCCGAAATTTAAGTCAACTTATTTCCGATGGAACTTCTAGAAGATCCTTTACCGGAGAAAGAAGTCGACTTAAATTTCGGATTTCATACAAATAAAAGACCTTGACACGAATTAACATTTATAAACCATCAATTATTAAAATTAACTGCAACATGCTGCTTCTAATTCTTCTAGATATCACTTGTGAGATTTTATTAGGATCACAGCCAACTGTTCTAAAAGTTTAAACTGTTAGATGAAGATGTAGTTCAATATTTAATTACTCGAACACTCGCCGCCAACCGTTCTAAAAATTTAAGCCGTTAGATGAAAGATTGGTTTATTATTTAAACCCCTCACGCTTAGTCTGGTCTATTTTTGCCTAGCACTAAATGTGAACATATTTAATTGGGGAGGCAAATGAGGCCTGAAAAGATTTAAACTCATGACCTCCAACTCTGATACTATGTGAGATTTTGTGGAACTACTGTCAATTGTTTTAAAAGCTGAAGCTGTTAGATGAAGGTGTGGTTTCATATTTAATTACTCTAACACTGCTAAGATAGGCTTTACCTACAACTGCGACGGTTGAATTATGTTTTTCAAGCAACCAACCTAAATAGACAAATAAGGCAAATAGATCAATGGAACAATATATTATACATGCTTATAGGAAACAATTATCGTCGAACGATTTCTCAAACATATCCAAGCAAATTCCCAATAACTCATGCAACGATTTGGGAGAGAAACATAGTATGAAGAACTTATGTTTGTGATAGCTTGAGCGAGATGAACAAGACCAGGATGATGTATTTTGGTAAAGGCTAGTCATGATACTAAGTATCGAGCCGAGAATGGATGGCCTATCATTTAAAGTTGCTATAGCTAGGGTTGTCAAATAGGTGGGTTGGGTCGAAAATAATCTAATCCATATTGATCCATTTAACTCGTTTTGATTCATATTCATGTAGTGCATATCTAGCAACCAATATCCGACCCATATTGTTAAAAGACTTTAATATTAAATCCAATTTAGAAAAACTTGTTTCTTATAAATTTTGAAAAATATATATTGCTAAAATACTATGGATAATTTTTATAATTTAAAAAAAGATCTAATATTTTTTTCTTTTTCTTTCTTTCTTTTCCTTTTTTTTCTACGTCCGGTGACAATCGATAACTGACAACCGGTGCTCCTCTTAATAATATTTATTTTTTAAAAATTAATTTTTATTTTCTTCTTTTTCATCGATGACCGGCCACAAGCGACAGATGACCTCTCCGGCATCGGGCGAGCTCGAGCTCGTCAACCTCTAGCACTGGTCTCGATCTAGACCTCGCTAGATCAACGAGCTCGAGTCTAGCTAGAGGCCTCGCCAAATTGATGAGCTCCAGCTTCGTCCGCCTCCGGCAAGGCTCGAAGCTCGCCAAATCAACGAGCTTATCTCATGCTTGTGGCTAGCCATCGCTGGGACCAACCATCGATTGAGGAAGAAGAAAAAGAAAAGAAAGAAAAAAGGAAAGAAAATTTATTTAAAAAATCAAAAAATTAAAAAAATTAAAAATGACATGTTTATTGTTACATCCCCGAATTTGGGCCTAGGAGCCGAGAGCAAGTGATCAATGAAGGAGCGGGTACTTCAAGCCGAGGGTCGATAATAGAACGGATAATATGATCGGAACAAGTGTACTAAGGGTTGGTCATGGTTCGATCGAAAGATTGTCCATGAATTGGCCTAGAGATTGACGGTGGAATGACTCCCTAATTACGCAAGATGATTAGAGTAATATGACCGTGGAGTGATCCTTCGACCATAAGGACCGTGAGTGGGACGGTCCAGGATAACTATAGTTCAATACTGTGTCGGCATGTGTTGATCGCAGGTGATACCACATAGCCATCCATCGGTCACGAATGACTATGAGTAAATTCCGAGGTACTGGATTCCACAAGGTCACATGACAACCGAGGTCGACGATGGATTAGTGATACTCGAACGTGGATCAGTCGCGAATCGGCCACGAATCATTGCGCTAAGTAGGGTAGGCCATGGACGAGCCATGTACCAGGCCACGAGCCCAATGGCTTGGCCACGGAATAGGCTATGTGCTGGCCGCACCAACCAAGCCTCATGCCAGGACATAACCGACCATTGTCCCCATTAGCTAGGCTACGAACTGACTACGTGCCCAGTCATGTGTCAATCATTGTGCCTGACCCTTGTGCTATGCAATGTGCCCATTAGATCCCGTTTCGATCTAGTCCCGTGCCCAATTGCCTTGGCCATGAGCCATGCCTTGTGCCCATGCATGAGCCAATGAATGTGTTAGACCAGTGAACCGGCCCCTTGCTCGTGTGGATCGGCATTGTGCTCGGCACATTGCTAGTGTAGCCGGCATCGTGCTCGGCGCACCGCTCGTGCAACCCAACACCGCGCCCGTGTGCTTGGCCACGCGCCCGGCCATGTACTTGGCCATGGGCCCATGCGGCCCGGCAGCATGCCAGGCCATGCGCCCGGTCAGATAGGCCACGCGCCTGGGCAGCCTGGCTGACTCGAACTGGACACCAATGGCCTTACATCTTTGATTGGTCATACTTGGCCATATGTGGAGGTCTTTCTACACCAAACCTCGTGTTGAACGGGTATACCAAGCATGGAAATCTCTCGGAAAATAAGTGGAAAAAGTATGATGCAGGGTTGTGCATGTAGTATCGATTAGTCGGTTTTGTGCAAACCGATTGGCCCAAGTAGTTGTAAATGAAACCGGCATGCTCATGAGACTCTCACAATTCAGCTATGGAGAAGATAAGAAGACAAAAAATTTTGACCAAGTCAAATGCTCATTAAAGGCCACTATTATTGAACCCCCTTAGGTGTCTCCTTCCTTTATTGCTTAGCAGTTGAGTTGTCCAGCTCATTCAAGGCTGCAAGATGACTGATGGTCATCAATTATTGACACAAAATAAGAGAGAGGAGTCGGCCAAGAGAGGGAACCGAAAGAGGGAGTCGGCGAAGAGGGGAAGCGGAGAGAGAGAGAGAGAGAGAGAGAGAGAGAGAGAGAGAGAGAGAGATAAGGCCACATTTAAGTCTTTTAATTGCCCTTCATAATTTCTTTTGGCCTTAGTGCATTAATGCATTTTAAGACTCACTTGACTTTAAAAGCATGCTATTATGGCTTGGCTTCTTCTCCAGGCTTGGCTGGTCTATAAAATGGAGAAGCCCTCACGTGAGGAAGCCTCTCTCTCACGCCCACATCACACTTCCACCAACCAGCCATCATCTTCTCCTCTTTTTGCCTTCTTGCTTCCCTGATTCACGCCCAAAGAAGCTCCACCAACCTTTCCTTTTGTTCGGCCAACTAGGAAGCCATGTTAGAAAATCGCCCGAGGCCTCGTTTTTCCCAAACTCAAGCCTTTTCTCGTGCTCAAGCCCAAGCCACAAGCCACTTGCTTTCTTTAGACTCTCGTATTCTAGTGTTTCGTTGTGTAAGTGAATTCCCTAATATCGGGAAAGGAAGTTGCGATACGCTGTAACATAGTTTGCTTGGGTCGTTTCTTAGTTTCTTGATCGATTATAGCTTGTTCTTTCTATGACAAGTGATACTCACGTGTGATAATCATGTTTGATGTTCTTTTGTTATTCGTAGCACGAACTTTGCTATTGATTTGCCATCGATGCCGGTACAGTAAGAGTCAACTTATGTGAACAACGATTGTCTCATCCTCGCTTGCTATTAGTGTTTTCACTTATTGAGTCTCCCCGACTCACTCCCTGTTGTTTTCTTCTTTTCATGTCCATAAGATGGCATCTCCCCCGACCCGGTTTGGTAACTCCATCGAGAGGAGAGTGAAACTGCTCACGGTTATTGATGCCCGCGAAGGCCGAGCCTATCGTAGGATCACCACGTACATGATGGTGGATGAGGGTCGAGAGGAATTGATCCCTCATACGTACGTGGCATGGTACCGTTTGGCTAATGGAGATTGGGTTGGACCCCTACGCAGGTTCAATGGTCCATTCAACGGCATGGGCGGGCCGGCTCTGGGGCAAGCCGTGGGTGGGGCATGAGATGGCTGGACGGACGGGGAGCGGGAGGAGCGAGAAGCAAGAAGCGAGAAGTAGTAGTGGAGCTAAGGACTCCAAGCCAAAGTTTTGTTTGTGAATAGTTGGCTCGTTTTTCGGAATCGCCCTTAAAATGAGCATGTAAAATATATGTGTGTGGTTTGCATGGCCCGAGAGTAAGGCTTGTGAAAATAAGCACGTATCATATAAATATACCGTGCGAAGTTTGCTTATGTTGATATTGTGTTGTTCCGTTTATATCTGCTTCCGCGTGCGCATTGCTTAAAATGAACGGGACGCACTAATGCATTTCCGCGAGTCACGGTTCCGTTCGGGTCATGTTCGGTCATTAAGCATCGATCGTGATTCCGAGTCGGGACGTGACATTTATTATTCACTTTAGCTGATCTTTAAAACTAAAGCCAACCCATTTAAGATCCATAAAAACCCATTAAGTTACTAAGTAACACATTTATTACCTATTTAAGTTTATCTTTAAAACTAAAGTCAACACATTTATGAACCATAAAATCAGCTATGAGTTAAATATGGGTTCTTAAACCATTTGCCACTTCTAAATATAGCTAACAAAGCCATCTTTAATAGAAGGTAGATCTATTACACGTAACATTGAAATATAACGAGAATACTCACTGAACTCGCCAAATCATAATTGTCTCCATTAGGAAGGGTAGGAGTGTGCAAAAGAATCGAGAACCGTCCGAACTGCTCGAAACTAGATTGGACCGAACTAGAACCGGCGGTTCCTATGGAGACCGATCCGGTTCCCGATTCTAGGCATGGAACCGCCCACTCGGACCGGACCAGTAATATATATAATTTTTAAGAAAAATTTCCAACAAAAAAAATATTTTATGAAACATGAAAATCCTAAAATCCCTAATCTAAAGCTCAATGCCGATCAACTAAGTGCTCGTCTCACTCTCACTTTGTTTGAGTTGTCTCTTTATCTCTCATTCATGGTCTCAACTCTTGAGCACATCATCCATCAACTCACGACCTCGACTTTCAATTCTCATCAACTCAGGGCCACGCCTCCGACCGTTTATTATCTCCCTCTCTCGCTCTCGATCGCCTTGATTTGTGTGAAACTTGGTGGGACCGATTTCATGGACCCACCCGGGAACTGGACCGGACCAACAGTCCGGTTCTTGGGTGGATCCATAAAACTAATGGGTGATTCCCAGTTCCAATTTTTCTTAGGAACCAGTCCCAAAACCGGTCCTTAGTGGGCGGTTCCCGGTTCCATGGTGGGAACCGACCACTCGGACCATGGAGCTCATTTTTTTATCCTTGTTGTCCACATAGTTTTGAGGTTCTGTTAATGTAGAAAACCAGAAATATCACCAAAGTGGAATGACTTCTTTATGATGGTCCACTATGCCACATGCAAAAAGCACTTGCAATATTTTCAAGATCTAACGCAATAAATCTTACCTTTTCAAACAAAATTAATTCAACAATAAACTTTGTCTTATGCCAAAGTGGCATTTTTGCCCAAGTGCAGTCATTGAGCAAATTCGTGCTAGAGAAGAGAGAAGTCGTGGAATTTAAAAAGCATCTAAAAACTGCAGTTCAAGATCGTGATTAAGGATAATCTAGATAGAAGTCAAATATGGTAATCATCTATGAAGTCATGACTAAGGTAATCCAGATAGAAGTCAAATATGGTAATCATCTATGAAGTCAAATATCTACGACCATGCATGGCTTCTTCTTCACTTAGTCATCTAGAGCCCAAAACGCACTTTCGGTTTAAATCCACACGAAACACGTTTAATGTGGATTTTTTCGCTGAAGGAGACGGATTTGTATTGAAGCGAAATGGAAGAATATCTGGTTGGGCATTGGGATTGTTTTGGGTTCTCTAGGGTTTGTTGTTGTCTCAACTCAAGCTCAACTTGAGATGGGTTATTATTCTCAGAGCTGCCCAGAAGTTGAAAGTATTGTGAGATAGTTTGTTGAAGATCACATCCGCAATGCTCCGTCTTTAGTAGATGCTCTCTGAGGATGCACTTTCATGATTGCTTCGTTAGGGTTTGGTGTCTCTCTCTTCCGTCTCTAGTCTCCCATGAATGCAACTTAATATCTTTTAGTAAGCTTGAGAAGTATGCAGGAATCACTTATTGCATATCTCCATTTCGAAAGTACTGTTTCCTTAATCTTGTGCTCATCTTTTCACTACAAAAAAACATGGATTTTGCCACGGAAATTTGCGACGGGAAATTTTTCGTCGCTAATTTGCGACGAAATTTGCGATGGAATTTTTTTTCCATCACAAATTAGTGACGAAAATTATTCGTCGCTAATTTGCGACGAAATTTGCCACGAAATAAAAATTCGTCGCAAATTTGCGACGGAAAAAAAATTCCATCGCAAAATCCGTCGCAAATTTGAGACAAAAAATAAGTCCGTCGCAAATTTGCGACGGATCTATTTTCCATCGCAAATTTGCAACGGATCTATTTTCCGTCACAAAATCGGTCGCAAATTTGCAACGGATCTATTTTCCGTCGCAAATTTGCGACGGATTTATTTTCCGTCGCAAATTAGTTTAGCGACAAATTTTGCCAAATTTTTCGTCGCAAAATTCGTCGCTAAAACCTTGTTTTTTTGTAAAACCTTGTTTTTTTGTAGTGTTCTAAAACTAAACCTAAGTTCTTCTAAATCTAATCACGATGATTACCATGTCTCAATCTCTCGTGATAAGGACGAGGACTACATAAGGAATATACTCCATCACAAGACAAACTAAATATTGCCTAATGAAATCAATCTAATGCAAACTAACAATTATTAATTGAAATTCAAACTAAATTGGATGATTGTCACAAGTTCAAATTCAAAAGAGATTGGACGATTTGCTACACGTCCAATTCTAAGAGAGATTAGATATTACAAATTCAAATTAGATAAGAAGATCTATTATAAACTCAAGATATTAGATAATCTCTTAAAATGTTCTCGTCCCAAATAAGCTTTTTTAGATTCGATAGGTGCAAATCTTATCTTCTTTTTTTTCAAGACTTAGATATAGATAACACAGATATCTATTTAGTTGAATATGGCGGTTTCCTCCGCACGTAGCTCTTATGTATGCGTAAATATAGGGGTAAATAAATTATATCAATTTTCAAATAGATCGGAATCGGGTGGATGTATGAAATGTAAAGTCAATGTATCTATGTGGGGATATCTATAGGAGATCATATAAAAGAGATATTCTTATGTAGACCTAACCAATTTGATCTAACCAATTAGATGATTTACCCCTAAATGGTTACATCTGAATGATGAGTGAATAGAGGGTATGCATTCTATTAGAGAAATATTTAGAAGATTCCCTATATTTCCTTTAATTGATTGTAATTGATATTTTTCATTTTAGATAGTCATCCTATAAAACCGATAAATAGGTTCGTGTACTCTTCATTTGACAATGATATATATATATATATATTGCTCTTAATTTTTTTTACCACATTCTTGACTTGGTATCAGAGCCCTATTGTTATTTGAGAAAGCGTCAATCGAGTCTGTTTGCAACAACGACATCCACATCAGTCATGTTTCTCCACAGTGTTCGTAATGCTAGTCACATCGGCCCATTTCGCAATAATCTCCCATAGTTGTTTGACATTCCTCCGCTGCTCCAATGAAAAAAAAAAAAAACATCACCAGACTTGCCGCCCTTAGACGTAGATCATGACATTTACTAATTCGTCAAATATGAGTAATGTGTCATTGTATGTAAAAGTGTAGAAGCATATATACTCAAGGTTCCGACGGAATTAGCGACGGATTCGAAAAATTGGTCGGTATAAACATTTCCGTCGCTAATTCCGTTGCAAATTAGCGACGGATTTGAAAAAATGGGCGCCATGTGCTGCGAAGATCACTTCCGTCGCAAATTTGCAACGGAAAAATAAATCCGTCACAAATTTGCGACGGATTTGGAAAATGCCCTTTATTTTTGGAATCCGTCGCAAATTTGCAACGGATTGGAAAATGCGATTTATTTTTGGAATCCGTCGCAAAAATAAATCCGTCGCAAATTTGAGATGGAAAAATAAATCCTTCGCAAATTTGCGACGGAAAATAAGTCCGTCGCAAATTTGCGATGGAAAAATAAGTCCGTCGCAAATTAAAAATAGTCCATCGCAAATTTGCGACGGAAAATAAGTCCGTCGCAAATTTGCGATGGAAAAATAAGTCCGTCGCAAATTAAAAATAGTCCATCGCAAATTTGCGACGGAAAAATAAGTCCGTCGTAAATTTGCGACGGAAAAAAAAATCCGTCGCAAATTTGCGACGGAAAAATGCGACGAACTCTGAATTTAGTCCCCCGCCAATCTCTCAATCTGCCCGCCCTCACCCCAGTTTTTCTCTCTCTCTCTCTCTTTGCCATTCCTCAGAAAACCCCCCCTCCGCCAAACACTTCTCCGTCGCTCCCTCCTCCCCTCCGCCAGCCATGATGGCCACCCTCACCGCCACTGCCGCCGCCGCTGTTGCCTCCTCTTCCGTCGCCATCCACCCGTTCTGCGCCCACAAGCCCCCCCGCGCGCCCCGCCGAGATCCGGTGCTCCGTCACCGAGGGCCTCGCGATCTCCCAGCCGAGGGCCGCCGGCGGGGGATTGGTTGATTGCGTGGTGGTCGCGGGCGGGATCAGCGGGCTCTGCATCGCCCAGGCGCTCACCACGAAGCACCGCGACAAGGCCCCCGATGTGGTCGTCACCGAGGCCAGGGACCGCGTCGACGGCAACATCACCACTGTCGAGAGGGACGGCTACCTGTGGGAGGAGGGCCCCAATAGTTTTCAGCCATTCCGAGATTTGTACGTTCCGTCGGTCCCATCCCGAGATTTTTTTCCATCGGTCCCATTCCGAGATTTGTACGTTCCGTCTATTCTGATTTTGTGACCTTTTTATTGAAGTTCTCGAGTATGTTTGTGTGTTAACTGATAGATACATCGTCGGATTATTGTAATGGTTGTCGTTGCTATTGTTTCGTTAGAATTGGGTAGTCTTCATCGAGAAATGGAGATGATGTTTGTGAGTTTATAGGGTAAATGGGTCAGGATAGGGTGCTTTGCAAGTGTTTGATGAATGACCCAGTTCTCCAATTTGCGAATAGACGTGCAATTTTGGACTTTTTTTATGCTGTTGCGAATAGCGGGGCGAGGCTCGAATCGGCGTGAGTTCTTTCTTGGGTGTTCTTCCTTTTTTTTTCTGGGGGAAAGAAAGAAAATGGAGAGGACAAAGCTATCGTTGGATAGATGCTCAAGAACACTCAGACTTCACTTGCAGAAGGTAGTGCTTCATGTGTTAATTTTTTTGAAGCTTTCTTTGGATAGATGCTCATTCTCTTTCTTGTCACTTCAAAACAAGAACGCAATCGCCAGTTGACAAAGCCTGTAACTGCTGAAAAGGTAGGATATGGTTCTATGTATTGTTGATATTCGCATTGAGGTTGGCAATGAGAACCTTGCCAGAGTACAGTTGTGCTGTTTTTGTGCATATTGGTCATCACTTTTGTTTGTTTGCAGATGGAAACAAGAAAAGCAGAGCTTGAGACTAACCTTGCAACTAATCTCAAGAGGTAGAAGCAAGAGTATGAGGCTATTATATCCTCATCAGAGACTGATTTGCATGAAAATGAAGCGGAATCAAAGTGGCAGGAGCTAAAAGATACTAAATCATTGGTCATTGATGCAACCCAGCGATTAGAAGGTGGAAATTTTGGATTGATCGGAATATTGTTGTCTTGAAGCTTTAAATTTTGTTCGCGCTTTTGATTGAAACAAAAATTATCAGGAATTAATAGAAGTACAGAGGAAACAAATAAGCAAATCAAAAAGATCAAAGATGAGATGGCAAAGTTGAAGGTACTATTTAATTTTTTCAGTGTGGACTTAATGTTGGTATTCAACTTTTTGGTTTCTTCTCAAATGATTGCTCGAATGCAGGCTTTGGAGGACACCTATGGGAAAACACTTCAGGATGAAACTAAAGAACTTGAACAACTGTTTAGCCGGAGGAATACTCTTATAGCTAAAACGATGAGTACTCAAAAAAGATAAGGAACTTGGGCCCGTTATTTTCTGATGCTTTTGAGATGTATGTTCCCTTGTCTAATTGTGAAAATGTTTTGACTTTGAAAATGCTTTTGAGGCGTATGTTCCCTTTGCTACTGAATTTTAATTTGGTTTCCACTATTGAAGCTCATCATACCTCATTTTATATGTTTGAGATTATAGGTATAGACGAAGGAGCATCAAAGAGTTGCAGAAGATGCTTCACAGATGCAACGAGCAGCTCCGACTGTTTAGTCATGTAAACGAGAAAGCACTTGATCAGTACGTGAACTTCATAGAGCAAAGGAAGTGAGCATCTCACATGGACCGTGTCTTTAGTTTTGTTCAGTATTTATATGATGGAGACTGTCGCTAAAAGTCGGATATTCTTTTTTGATTCATTTCTGTCGTCATTGTTTATTGTGCAAGATTATTTATTCTCTCATTATGTGTACTATAAAGAAAAATATTTATGTCATTCTTGTGGAAAATGTAGATGAATGTATTTCATTTTCATATTATTATAATATTTTGATGTTATTAAGTGCTTAATCAATGTTAAATATAAATTTCAGAAATTAATTTTGCTTTTAATTAAGTTTAAAATTGAAAAATAAAATAAATGATTTTATCGTACGATCACAAATTATAAAATTTCGTCGCTAAACGATATTTGTCGCAGAGTTCGTCGCTAAAGAATTAATAAAAAAATCGTTGCTAAATTTGTTCATGAATAATGTTCATGGCAAAAGTCAAAATTTTTCGTGACAAATTTGCGACGAATTTTGCCACGAATAAGTTCGTCGCAAATAACAAACAAAAAAAAATTCGTACCAAATTAGCGACGAATTTTGCCACGTATACAGTTCGTGGCAAATTAGCGACGAATTTTGCAACGGATTCCAAAAATAAAGGGCATTTTTCAATCCGTCGCAAATTTGCGACGGATTGAAAATGCCCTTTATTTTTGGAATCCGTCGCATTTTTTGTGACGGAAAATTTTTGCGACGAATTATTTGCGACGGACAAAGTTCGTGGCTAATTTGCGACGAATTTTGCGACGAATAAAGTTCATGGCTAATTTGCGACGAATTATTTGCGACAGAAATTGAAATTTTCCGTCGTAAAATTTTGCGATGCCCTAGTAGCAATGGAATTTTTTTCGTTGCTAATTTCGTCGCAAATTCGATTAGCAATGGATTTTGCCAAATTTTTCGTCGCAAAATTCGTCGCTAATCCCTTGTTTTTTTGTAGTGTAAATTTGCGATGAATTTTGCAACGAATTTTGCAACGAAATATGTGACTAAATTTGCGACAAATTTTGCGACGGATAGTATTCGTGGCTAATTTGCGACGAATTAATTGCAACAAATTTTGCGACGGATAGTGTTCGTGGCTAATTTGCGATGAATTATTTGCGACGGATTTTTTTCCGTCACAAAATTTTGCGACGACCTATTAGCGACGGAATTTTTTCCGTCGCTAATTTCGTCGCAAATGCGATTTGCGACGGATTTTTCCTTTTTTTTCGTCGCAAAAATCGTCGCTAATCCGGCGTTTTTTTATAGTGTTTGTTGATCATCAGTTGTGATGCTTCAGTGCTTTTGAACCCTACCTCAAGCAACCAAGCAGAGAGAGATTCTCCTCCAAGAGAGTGATTTATTATTTAAATATACTAACATTCTCCCTCACACGTTAGCTGGACTTTGGCTTTAGACTAAGTCACGGACAAATAGGGGCCTGGAAATATATGAACTCAGGATCTCCTACCTGATACAATGTGAGATTTTGTAGAACCATCAGCAACTGTTCTAAAATGAAGGCGTGATTTATTATTTAAATATTCTAACAATAGCTTTAGTTGCAAGAGATGCAATTGTGGCCACAGTAAGGACAAAGACACAATTATTATTTTCATAACAACAGATGTCCATTGTTCATGCATGTCTAGATCTTAACACCGTATGTGAAAACCGTTTTCTGCACTAACGATGGAATGACTAATAAATTTGTATGCGAAAAAAGCATCGAGCTTGAATGGGGACTAGTCCTGCATCTGATTCGCATTAAATCATAGGGAGGTCCATTTTGGAGAGTTCCTCCAAGGAGAAGAGATGGAGTGATTTCAAGGGCATCAGAGGCATTGAGCAACGTCCCTCCTCCAACCAGCAATCTCATCGCTCTCCAAACATTTTTCGCCAATCAAGGACAACTTAGTTTTTTTGACCGGTGAGGCCACAAATCACTCACCTATAAAAACAGAGAGATAAAAACCCTAATGATGCAAGGTCTCATGATCAACCAACATATGCGACGATGAGTTATTCACCGCTTTACGATTCTTTTGGTAATTCAAAGCAATTAAAAGAATTGATTACTTGGCCCTCCAGAATGATTGGGGCTGATTCAATGGCCGTGAAAGTAACTCCATCTCGTCAAGATTATCTTCCTTGGAAAGATTATCTGTAACGATAGAGGACAAAAAATGTTATAAGATTATTAAGACATGACAATTTGCTATGCCTCATTGAAGTTGGTTCCGTGCATGCTCGACCGAATTCAATTATTTGATCTTCAATCGAAGTAGATCAGATCGTACAACAAAGAGTAAACATTTCGTATACTTCATCTCTATCCTTTCATCTCGACCCATGTCATGATTTGCTACTCCGAATCAACCACGAAGAACCAAGTACGACAAATTAGCTAGAAAGGGAAAATAACATACAATAATTTTCGGAAATTGATGGGTTAATGTCGCATCATCATTGGATAAACTATCCTTTGATAATTTAGCGTGTTAGACACACAACTAGCACTTATAAACTTTATTGATCCAGCATTCTCAATTGCCAAAACATACGTATACCCAATTTGCGTTGGTCAAGCCTTCTTCAGCAGCTGGATCGGACTCCGGATTTGAGTGGATATTCAATCATTGAATATTAAAATATTGAGTTCTTAATCCTGTGTCCTGAAAACTTAAATTATGAAAGAATGACAGATTTCTGTTTTTGTTGATGTAGCTAGCAAGGATCACAAAGAGAGGGGTGAATAGGTGATCTTAACCAATTTTTATCAATTTATGCGGAAATAAAAATCGCAGCTGAGTCTGAATAAATTTCAGATTCAAGACAGTTTATAAAGACGGTGCTCTTGAAGTGCAGAGTGTAAATTAAGAGATAAGGGATAGAAAAATTGCACACAAGTTTATAGTGTACGTCCACTCTCCCACGCTAACAGCCTACCGGCTGGATTTCACTATGTAATCAAGAGGAATTACAGATTTTGAGTGACAGCACTCTTGTGTATGATAGGACTCTCTATCTCACACAATCACTCTTACAAAATATCCCTCAAGATCTTAATTTTTGGCTCAGAAAGACAAGACAAATTATCGGAGTATGCTCAGACTTTGGACTTGTTGATTCTTGATTCTGTACCTCCTTCTGCTACTCGTTGATCTCCTTAAATACTCCTATGCTTCCATACTAGCCGTTGGACAGCTTTTAGAGGATCATCTTCCAATCTTCACCTTGGACAGATTTGTATAAAAAGAATTGAGTAGCCGTTGGATGACAGATTCTGAATCCCGCTGATTCTAGTCGCCCATACAATCAGAATCTTGGTTTCCATAAGTAGAGCTTTGTCCATTGTAATGCATACTTGTCGTAATGTTTGATTGTCAATCAATTTAATTGAGATTGATACAATCAAAACTTTCCTTCTGTGAAATCCATACCAGATCACTAGCTGTTATTCTTCGTTCTGAGTTCTGCGTCTGCGTCTGAATAATTTCAGCATCTGCGTCTGCGTCTGAATAATTTCAGCGACTGCATCTGAATAATTTCAGCGATTGTGTTTGAATATTTCAGCGACTGCATCTGAATAATTTCAGCGACTGTGTCTGCGTCTGAATAAGTTCTGCGTCTGCCAGCTTGTAAAGTCTGAAACACTTCCTTCTGAACTTCCAGAATATACATACCTGGAATAAAATAGTTCAGAATAAGTATCAGATTTACAGTAACACGGAAGGTTTTGTCAACTTCAAAATCAATAGGAGTTTTCCTCAACAATCTCCCCCTTTTTTATGGTGACAAAACTTCCTTGCATATTGAATCAGTATGAAATTAATTTGAAATAAATAAGCATATTAGTCGCATGAAACACAGATTGAAATTGAAAGAGCAAACTCTGTTGATATCTGTGTCTTTCTCTTCCTTTGTATATAACCTGCATATGATCTGCATATTAATGTTAGTATGGAAAATCTGCATATAATTTCTCCCCCTTTTGTCATCAGCAAAAATAATAATAGACAGAATGAAGCATTGATATAGATCATCAAAACAGTCCAACAAAAGAATGTATAAGATATTACAAACCAACGATTGAAAGAGATGGTTTTAAAAAGGGTGAGAAAAACAGGCTATTTCTTAGAAGGGGTTCGAATGAGTTGAAAGTTTTCCAATATAGAGACAGCTTCCTCAATCTTCGAAGAACATTCTCCTATAGCTTTGTCCATGTTGGTTGAGCATAAAGCAATGGCTTCCTTAAGTTCTGCTTTGTCTGATGTTGCCTGAAGACATTGAGTCTTGTTGTTTTCCTCAACACTTCTCTGTAGATTCTTTACATCTTGTTCAAATGCAGATTGCTTATCTTTGATTTCAAATAGAAGAGAGAGAATGGTCTGATTGTCTGAGGGCTGTTCCTGGACATTGGCTTGTTTAGACTGGTCGAACCCTGTTGCTTCCTCTGGTGGAATCTCCCCCTGAACAGGTGCATGGTCTACAGAAACATGTTCTTCAGGAACTTGTTCTGAAACCTTTGGAGTCGGTTCTGAAACATGTTATGGACCATCAGTATGTCCTGTTTCAAAGTGCTCTGCTTCATCACTTTCATCTTGTAGAAGAATTTTTCGTTTCTTCCTGTACACTTTGAGTGGGGTGGGAGAGTCAGTCTGCTTTCT